AATGTTTGCTTCATGTCCTCATTGTATAGAAAATTTAATACCCAATATAGAAGTGCTGGTACCAAGAGAATAATATTCTTATTGAATTTGAAGCTTAGACTACTGGCTGGGTATTAGATTTCATGAGGTCACTGGGTAAACAAGAAAAACTCGGTGTTATGCTTTTAGCCAGTGTATCTGACACATCTTATGCATCAGTTCATGTCTAGTGACCCCATCTTTCTCTTGGTCCAGCTGCCACTGTGGCAGCCAGCTTTGTATGTGCTCTGACTGGCTTTGGAGAAGCTGAGCTAGGCTGCACCCAGCTCGAGTGTGTGCCCCAAGCTCTGCTATCCCCACTTCCTTGTTGACACTGCTTGAGACCCTGCTCAGCACCCATACTTGTGCTCCTGGAACTGTGGGGCTGTTCACACCCTGTGGGACAAATCCTTGGCCAGTGGAAGGCAAGGGCTGGTGGATAAACCCTCCCCTCTACTTTTCCTTCACAGGACGGTTCTGAGACTTAGTTCATGTGGATTTCTGGAGGACAGTCCCATTGGATGAAGCTATCAGTCACACTTGTCTGTGGCCAACTCATTAACACATCCTCATTTGGGCTGTCCTGCCTTTGCTGCCCCATTCCTCTCGTTCCTCCTCCTCCTCCTCCCTGGTATTGCATATCTTAATAAAGTGACAACACATTAGCCCTCAGCCTCAGCCTCTGCTTTCTGGGAACCCATGCTAAGATAGCCAGCAAGGTGCAAAGCACATGGATGAGCATACACAGCTGTGCACACACACACACGTGTGCACACACATACGCAGAGTCTCATACAAATACTATTGAAGGCATAAAGGAAGATTTATTGAGAAAAACAGCAGCAGCAGCAGAAGAGGATAGAAAGAGAAAGAGGAAGAAGAGAAGGAAGAGAAGAGTGCATAGGATACGATCCTGCAAACTCTTATTATTCCATGTTGAGGTGTGCTTGGATTGGGTGCAGCTGGGCATACCATGGAAAGTCATCCAGGAGCAGGATCCTGTCCCTTCTTCTGCTTTTTATATTTCTAGGGAAGTTGAGAGAGGAACAGGAACACATGGTCTACTACATGACGAAGAGTGAATCTTTTCCAGGGAAATAACTAGGATTTGAAGATCAGCTAGGGGAGTCTGCACACTAAGCCGAAGATTTTGCATTCTTTGTTGAGCTGGCTCAGACCTACTGACTCAGCTTGTAGCCAAGCACGCATAAATTGGGGAGGGAAGAGAGTCATCAGGGGCCTTAAGCCAAAGATCTATCTCTCCTGGTCAGGGCTATTTGTCCCACTTTTCAAGGGGAAACAAAGTTTTTGCTGTACAAGGAGGGCAGGGAGTTATATGCATGAGTCCCAGTGGAGCTCCCTGAGTGCTTTTTTATATTTCCATGTCCAAGGGCAAAGGTTAATGAAAGACTATTGCATTTCTATCCAGGCAGGACCTGAACTCAATCCCCCAGGAATGATGATTGGATCCCCCAATCCAAAATTTTAACCAGCTGAGGGCTGGCCTAAGGCGAGGAAATGTGGAATGGGCGGTGGAGGGGCAAGTCATAATCATAGCTGCGGGCCAGCCACGAGTGGAGGAACAAGGACTGGTATTCCACTCATGTTTCCTTTCTGTAGTGTCACATATAATTATACATTTTCATTTAATTTCCTTTGCTTTCCTCTTCCTTTGTTGCTTTCAAGATTTTGCTTTTAGTGTTCTGCAATTTCAGTCTGATATATCTGCCAATACATATATATTCTTTTGGTGAGGAAGATTGGCCCTGAACTAACATCTGTGCCAATCTTCCTCTATTTTGTATGTGAGACGTCACCACATCATGGCTTGATGAGCAGTTTGTAGGTCTGCACCCTGGATCTGAACCTGGGAATCTTGGGCCACTGAAGCAGAGTGCATGAACTTAACCACTAGGCCACCAGGCTAGACCCTGTGCCAATACTTTTTGAATGCTGCTTCTTCCCATTCTTGATTCTTTCCTTCTGGAGATCCTACTAGAGGGTTTTTGGATCTTCTCATTCCCTCCTCCATGCCTATTAACTCTCTTTTATATTTTACCTCTCTGATGAATGAAATGAAAGAAAAACTGAATGAATGAGGAGATATTCCATGTTCATGGACAGGAAGACTCAATATGGTCAAGATGTCAGTTCTTCCCAACTTAAACTATAGATTCAATGCAATACCAGTCAAAATCTCAGCAAGTTAGTTTATGGATATCGACAAACTGATTCTGAAGTTTATATGGAGAGGCAAATGACCCAAAATAGCCAACACAATGTTGAAGGAGAGGAACAAAGTTGGAGGACTAATGCTACCCAATTTCAAGACTTACTATAAAGCTAAAGTAATCAAGCCTGTAGTGTGTTATAATAATCAAGTAAAAAAAAAATCAAAACTTGTAATCAAGCATGGTATTGGTAAAGGAATAGATAAATAGATCAATGGAACAAAACAGAGCCCAGAAATACACCCCCATAAATATAGTGAACTGATCTTTGACAAAGGAGCAAAGGCAATACAATGGAGCAAAGATAGTCTCTTCAATAAATGGTGCTGGAATGATGGACATATGCATACAAAAAAATGAATCTAGACACAAATTCTTCACAAAAATTAACTCAAAATGGATCATAGACCTAAATGTAAAACACAAAACTATAAAATTCCTGAAAGATAAGAAAGGAGAAAACCTAGATGACCTTGGTTCTGGTGATGCTTTTTAGATACAACACCAAACATGATCCATGAAAGAAAAAGTTGATAAACTGATCTTCATTAAAATGAAAAACTTCCACTTTGTGAAACACAATATCAAGAGAGTTAGAAGTCAAGCCACAGACTTGGAGAAAATATTTGCAAAATACACATCTGGTAAGGGACTGCCATCCAAAATATACAAAGAACTCTTAAAACTCAACAATAAGAAAACAAACAACCTGAATAAAAAAATGGGCAAAAATCATGACAGACACCTCACCAAAAAAAGATATGCAGTTGGCAAATAAGCATATGCAAAGCTGCCCTATATCACATGTCATCAGGGAAATGCAAATTAAAACAACCATTAAATATCACTACATACCTATTAGAATGACCAAAATCTGGAACACTGGACAACGCCAAATGCTGGTAAGGATGCGGAGCAACAGGAACTCTCATTCATTGCTGGTGGGAATGCAAAATTATATGTCCACTTTGGGAGACAGTTTGGCAGTTTCTTACAAAACTAAACATACTCTTACCATATGATCCAGCAATCACACTTCTTGGTATTAACCCAAAAGAGATGAAAACTTATGTCCACACAAAAACCTGCACACAGATGTTTATAGCAGCTTTATTCATAATTGCCAAAATTTGGAAGCAACCAAGATGTCCTTTGATAGGTGAATGGAGAAATAAACCGTGATACATCCAGACAACAGAATATTATTCAGCACTGAAAAGAAATGAGCTATCAAGCTATGAAAAGACATGGAGGAATCTTAAGTGCATATTACAAAGCAAAAGAAGGCTAATCTGAAAAGGCTACATACTGTATGATACCAATTATATGACATTCTGGAAAAGGTAAAACTATGGAGACAATAAAAAGATCAGCGGTTGCTAGGCTGGATGCGGATGTGGATGTGGGGAGAGATTAATAGGCAGAGAACTGAGGATTTTTAGGGCAGTGAAATTACTTTGTATGATATTATAATGATCGATATACGTCATCATACTTTTGTCTAAACCCATAGAATGTACAAGACCGAGAGTGAAGCCTAAGGTAAACTATGGATTTTGAGTGATTATGATGTGTCGATGTAGTAAAAAAGTACCTTGGTAAAAAAAAAAAAGTACCATTCTGGTGAGTGATGGGTGAGTGATGTTGATAATGAGGGAGGTGATGCAAGTGTAGGGGCAGGGGGATATATGGGAAATCTCTGTACCTTCCTCTGAATTTTGTTATAAACCCGAAACTGCTCTAAAAAAAATAAAGTCTTAAAAAAGAACCTACTTAAAATTCATTATACTTAGAATTTCCTCTTGTGCCAGAATACTTAGAAATTAGGTTACTCTAGGAGACTGGCTTTTGCAAAACACTATTGGAGACCTTACCTGATGCAATCAGTGTAGATCCTAGCTTTGTCCTTTTTCACTCCTATATCATATAGAGAGCTGGAAAGTGCCAGCCAGGGCCCAGATGTCTTCAGGAGGAGCAGGTGGCAAAGGATGACAAGGAGAAACATTAACAAGGGAAGTCACATTCAGGAAAAGGCAGCGCCCATATAGATCATGGATGAGAATGGGCATTACAGAGGGCTTTTATAAACTCTCATGTTATAATATGGAAGACATTCTCTCTCCTAGGAACTGACTAGTTTCTTGAAAGGCCTCATTTACATGTTTCCAATCTGGTAGTAAGAGTAGATGCAGTGCATATTAAAGGTCACAATAAGGAAGAGATTTTAAGCATAAATACCACAAGAACACTCTTTCATTTTTTTAAGGGGAAGCAAAACAGTCTAAAGAAGTATCTGCATGCATAAAATAAGTAAATAAACCAAAATGAATGATAAAAAATGTGTACATAACCTTCCATGATAGAAGTTTTGACTGGGAGCACCTATTCCCACAAGCATATTTCATCTGAGATGCTACATATAAGGCTATTCATGGTGATATGAGTGTTGTGTCAGTTTTTCTGAACATTTAACTCTATTTTATTGTCAGTGAATCTATAGAAAATAAACATGGCACAGGTCCAGAGGCCAGGGGAATGATTGGAGATGATTTTAGGAACAATAGAAGGTTAAGCCTCCCATTGATGTCAACTAGCCCTTTTTTGCCATCTGTTTTCCTCTTAAAATCTCGACATGATCTTTTAAACACATTGTCCTTACTGTGTTTCCTACCCACCAATAGCTTGCAGTTTGTGGTTTATCAAGTCAGTGCTCTTGGCTTTAAGGAACAGAAAACCCTGACTCTAACTGGCTTGAACAACAAGGGAATTTATTATTTCACATTATAGGATGTCCAGAGGTTGAGCACGCTCCAGGCCTAGTACAACCATTTGCCTCAATGATGTCATCAGGACCAGGTTTTCCCATCTTTTCCCTCTCATCCTCTGTGAGTTGGCTTTGCTCTGGGCTGACTCCCTTCATGGCTGAACAACAGCTGTAGTAGTTTCAGGTAGTATGTACACACACAACCCTATCTAAGGGAAAAAGTGAGACCATCACTTTTGTTTTTTTAAACAGCATTATTGAGGCATAATTCCTAACCATACAATTCTCCCAATTAAAGTTTATAATTCAACAGTTTTTAGTATATTCATAGAGTTGTGCAACCATCACCACAACCACTTTTAGAATGTTTCATCCCCCAAAAGAAATCTCACACCCACTAGCAGTCATTTTCTATTTCTCCTCAACACCCCCCAACTCCAGCCCTAGGCAACCTCTAATCCACTTTCCATCTCTGTATAGGCCAATTCTGGATGTTTCATATAAATGGAATCATACAATATGTGGTCTTTTGTGACTGGCATATCTCACCTAGCATAATGTTTCTAAGGCTCATCACCATCTCTTTCTTGAATGCCCCCTTTGAAGGAGAATGAAAACGTTCCTGAAATCTCTCAGCAGACTCCTCCTTAAGACTCTTTGGTCTAAATCTAGCTACATGACTGCTTCCTAATCTAAGCCGTGCACTGGAGGAGGAATTACTGCGAGTACCTTAAACTGATGTGCACCAACTCCTCTCAACAGGGATGACGGGGTTAGCTGGTCACCTGCAAAGTTGTCACTGGCAGGCAGGGACTGTGAAGGTGAGGGGTGGATACCTGAACAAAATTGCATTCCTTTTAGAAAAGAAGAATGGGGGAAATGGATGTTGGCTTAAAGAAAGAAAGTGTGCACTACACTTAGATAGTGCAATGTAATAGTTACAAGTGGAGCCAAGAATCAATGGTGAAAGTGGCTACACTTACCTTGGCTTATTTATTTTATCAGTCTTCCTGTCTTGCTGACTTTTTATTCGGTATCTGTAGGTTTCAGACTCTAGGACACCACTAAGGTTCTAGGATTCTAGGTTCACCACGGCCACTTCCACCAGCCACTCCACATACTACCCTTGCAATGGATTCTACCGTGAGGCTTAGGCAAGCTCACCAACTGTTGGAGCTTCAGGGAAGTGGGAGAAGTAACTGAAAAGTGAGAGCCACACAGTGCCTTCTGTCCAGGTAATTGATTGACAAAATCTGGCATGCTACCTTTGGTATTCTAGCTTTATGTGGTTGATGTACGCAACTGAGAGGGAGGTTACAAGTATGAGAATACTATATATATGTATATGCGTGTATATGTATATCCCGTCAGTGAACAAAAATTAAAATGTTGGGCCACCTAAACCTCCATTCTGTCTCCCTTGGTTTAGTGTCATGTTCTCTCACACTCTTCCAAAGTAGGGTCAATCTGACTGGGGATTTAAGGACTCCTTCTTTTTGAGTGATCATGGCGTTCCTGTCTTACTTGGTTTCCTCTTACCATACTTCTGGTCAGAGGTAGTTTCCCTTCAACATTCTTAATAACAGATTCTGAGCCAAGAGAATGTCACTTCAGGATTGGTTCTGGACTAATGGGAAGCTACTGGGTTTTGGGATGGTGTGTCAACATACTGGGAAAATACTACAGACATTGAGATGTAAGTCAGACTCTTCCAATACTGGGGACTACTGGATGTCAGTCAGCACATTCCTCTAATGCCCTCAGGGGAGCATGACTTCATTGTATAGGCAGTTGGGCTCACCCTTTCAACATCACCTTATTTCAATACATAGCAACTAGCATGCGTGGCAGTGTGTTAAATGTGTTTTGGGCTGAAATGACCAAGATTTTGAACTCCCTCCTAGATCAGTCACTGGATGAGGCCCGCCTCCAGAAGGGCATGACACCAGTTAAGCTAGCTCACTGCATCAGAGGCTGACCCTGAAGGGGCTCACAGGTGAAGGCAGCCTGCCTGCAGCTCCACACCTGCAACAACAGGCAGCGCATCTCCATGTCCACCACTCAACCCTGGTAATGATGCATGAAGAGAGCTTTGGAGAGGTTCCCATGTCTCAGTCATCCGTATCCTTTTGCACTTACAAGCTACATGTTGGAGATGTGGCTCTCACTATAGTCCCCCATGTGGTTGGGGTGGGGTGGAACGTTAAGTTCTGTAAAGTAGGGACAATCGTTAACTTGTATATTTATAACTGTATCCCTCTAGAAAGAATTCGAAGGGGCAATCATTAGCTTAACCAAAGTGGGGCAGTTACTATAGGAAAAATATTAATAGTATGAATTCTATAACTTCAACAATAAATGGGATGCTACAGTAATGCATTAAAATGTCAGTAAATATGTGTGTCATGCAACGGGTACAGTTAACTCCTCAGAGATGAGTTTACAACTCTCTCCCGTTTTGATGCAGATGTTTCACATTTGCAGGTGACATACCTGAGCCATATGACCTATTGTTTCTATTTATACAAACACGCAGTTTAAGGAAGGAACACAAAGGTCCCGCTCAGAGACTGGCTGTACCCCACACTACTGCTACACTCTTCTCTTTTGCATATGTAATACTGAGGCTTTAATTTTGAGGAAATGTCTTGTTTTTCCTAGTCTGATAATTCATGTAGAAAGCTGGGACTTGTTTCCAGGTTTCTCTGTTGGGAACACAGCAGGTTGACACCCATGTCCCCATTTACCACCAGACTGGCCAAAGTGAATTAAAGCCCTCATATTAAAGAAATAAAGTAAAGAAAACTAACAAACCTTCCCCAATAGCCCCAGGAGCACTCCTTGATTAGCGACCATCGTGGGTGAGGCCTGCTCTGCTGCTCACAACCCTTCACATGCCCGGGTTGCCTCCAGGGAAGGGCTGCCTCTCTCCCGGGCTGCTGTTTCTCCCTGGTGGCACGGCCCATCGCCCTTCTTCCTGGGGTTCTGGGCATCTGCCTTGTGTTGCCCAATCTTTTCAATACTACAGGACTCCAGTTCACATTAAATCAGGGTTTCTCTCCCCTAGATGTTACCCTCCGGTGAGGTGCTCATGCCCTCTGCCTGGACCTGCGGGAGAGTCATTGGGTGTGACCTCAGTTTAAAATAGGGTAACTGAAACCACACCCCAGCCCTGGTTCTTTGTCATCAGCCCTCCGTGAGTTAAGGTTCATGTCTCTTAAATGAAGAATCACTGTCTTCAATGACCCTGGGAGGTGGACTGGGGAGGAGTCAGTCCTCAGAATTCTTGCCCTGGCCTACCAGCATTCCATGTACAAAGATGGCCTGCTCCTCATGGGCTAGATACTCTGAGGAGCTTGTCCCAGCTTTGCCAAACACATATTCTTTCTTCCAAGCTTCCTATTGGATCCTGGAGATTTGCTGGTTAACTGGTGGTTGCTTGAGGTTTAGGCATCAACCACAGAAAAAAATAAAAGCTAATATGTATTGAATGTTAACTATGTTCTATGCACTCTTCTAAATGCCTTACATGCAGGGACTCATTTAATCCTCATGACAATCCAATGAGGTAGATACAGTTGTTATCATCGTCAGTATAGAAAGTGAAGTACAAAGAAATTAAACGTGTTGCTCAACTCTCTCAGCTAGTACATGGCAGAGCTGGAATTTCTAGGCAGCCAGTTGCAAAGCTGCTGAGCTGTGCTGCCCTACAGTACTGGCTAAGTGGCAGCGTAGAGATGACCTTAAGTCCACATCCTCAGCCGGGGCAGTACCGTGTCCTCCTTCAACTGAGCCAATAAGTCACAGAGCACAGATGCCTGCCTCTTCTCGCTGCCAGGAAACCATCCACACTACATGGCTATGCCTGCACAGCTGTACCCATGGGGCACTCAGAGGCAAACATACCCCCATGAGCACATTCCATGTGGTCAAACTCACATCCACATGTGACGCAGATGTCCCAGCAAGACTGGATTCTGGTCTTCAGAAATGAGTATAGAGCTCCCTGTTGATATATAATCCAAAGCAAAACTAAAACCAGCCCTAAAACAACCACCACAACCAAAAGCATATATATATATGTGGAAGTTTTCAGAAAAAGCTTCTTCCTGGAATTTCTGATTAGAAAATTACAGAAAGTTCACCCAAGCTGAACTTTTCTCATTTTGGGGAACCATTGTTTCGCTGAAGCCCTAAAGCTTTGTGTGTTCACTGAACCATCAAGTATCAATTCCCAGAGTTTTCTAGCCTGCCAGTTGAGCCGCTCAGGAACTCATTTTCAAACACAAATGTTTTAGATGGTTGTAAAGGGAGAGTTGAAAATAACTGTCTCTCATACCTTCAATACCACAACATTTTATAGCTGTAAGAGATTTTTTATGATGATCTTCTCAGTCTCCTAATTTACAGGTGGAGATCCAGGAGAGAAGGCTAGGAAGCTGATACTACTATCTAGTGTGGTCCAGTGAGAATTAGATCTGGCAGAGTATACTTTACTGCCCCATAAGGCCATTGGATGTTCTCATTTTTCTTGAAACAGTCATCTAGGGGCCATAGGGAACCCAGATGGTGAGCTCTCTGAGGGCAGGAGCCACCAGGGCTGCTGTAGGTGACAGCATCCCCAGGGCCTCCCACATCCTCAACACAGTGAATGTTGGTTGATCCAACCGTGGAAGGCAGAGGGTAAGAAAGAAACCTGGATTGACTGGCTTTGTCCCCACACCAACTAGGGGAGAGGGGGCTGGTTGAGGAGGACCGAGAATTAGAAAGGGCTATCTGGCCGTCAGCATTGGCCCTGGCTTCTCTGTAGCTCTCTTGCTCTCTAGAATCCATTCACTACACTGTGGACAGAGAGATGTTTAAAATGTAAACCAGATATCACACCCTTCCTCCGATTGAATCCCTCAACGCCTTCCCATCCCAGTTGGTATAATGTCCTACCTCCTTACCACCGAGGCCGGTCTTGCCCACCTCTCCAGCTTCACCGCTACCACCTACTCCTCAGCTCCCTTTGCTTCTCCACCCTGACCCCTGACCTGCCAAACCGCCTCGGGCTTTGGAGCTTTTCACCGGCCGTTCCCTCCCCCAAGCTCTCCTTCCTCTGCATCTTGGCTTAACCGGCTCCTTCTTGCCTTCTCTAAAATTGCCCTGTTCATTTAGCTATTTTCCGATTTAGTGCCAGGTCCTAAAACAGTGTTTGCCTTGGTAAGCTTTCCATAAAATATTGTTGAGCGATAGATGGATGGATGAAAGGATGACTGGATGAATAAACGAGCATACGAACATGCACGCAGGCCCCGGGCGGCGGCCCCTGCAGACCGCGCCCTCCTTGCGCGGAACCCGAGGGCGGCGGCAGCGGTTTCCCTGCAACGAGCCGGGGAAGCTTGAGGGAGCACACAGGAAAGGCCGGGCGGAGAGCGGGGCCGGCCGGGGTGAGTGCGGCGGGGCTGGGTCGCCGAGCGGAGCGCCGGGCGCCGGGAGGGACGAGAGCGCGGGTCCCCGGGGGCGCGGGGAGGAGGCGCCGGAGCCGCGCTCGGCCAGGCCCAGCGGGGGCCCGGTGTGAGGACGGCGGTGCGGGCGGCGGCGGGGCTGGGGGGTGGGGGCGAGGCCGGGCCGGGGCGGCGGGGGCCCTGTGGTCGCTGCGGGCGGCCAGCTCTCCGCGGGTCTGCCCCAGAGCGGTGGCGCCCGACGTGTGTGACCCGTCCGCACTGTTTCCCTTTGGGCTTCAGATTACTCATTTGCAAAATGGGGCGAATAGTTTCTGATCGAGTGAGGGATGGCTTGGTTCATTCATTCCCGGCGCTTGACTAGGTTCTGTGGCTAGAGATGGAAAGAGACGGAACCTGCCCATGAGGGGTCACAGTCTAGTGAGAAACCCCTCGCCTTACAGGGGAGGAGGGTCGAACACAGAATTGGAAGGTTTTGGGGAAGAGCCCTGCTTTTCAGGCGAAGGATGTTAATTTGAACGTAGAAAATTTAGACTTCTACTGAGATTGGGGAATAGGAATTCTGTTGGATATTTAGGAATATATACTTTGTTAGCTAATATATTGCGTATTGTGATGACAGCTTAAATACACAAAATTTACAAAGTGCATTCACAGCCCTCTCAGGTGTGATTTTTCCAGCCAGTTGAGTTAATCAGAGCAGGTGGTGTATTCTCATTTAACGAAGAAATAGAGGCAGAGGTTAAATGATTTACCCGGGCTCTCGCTAGCGGGAAGTGACAAAGCTGGACTAGAATCTAGGCCTCAGGACCCCTTGGACCAGGGCTCTTTCCACTACCTTAGGTGTCTGCATGATCCCACATTATTTTTATAATACCTGAATCGTTTGTGACAAAAAGGGAGTTCTATTGGGTCATGGATGGGCTTAAAACAGACTGGTATCGACTCTTAGATTGTTCTCTGACTTCTTATTGGCATTCTTCCCCCTCTCTGCCCTCCCCTTGGGTGCTTTTATCTGCGCTCAAACTTGACCTTCTTGAAACCAACAAGTCTCAAATCTATCTTCTACTCAGTTTCTCCTGGCTTCCAACTGCTAAATCCACAGTTCCACTGACTGTTTCCCCTTGGGTGCCTCACAGGCATCTCACACTCAGTATCCTAAACTCCACACACTACCTTTTTCCACAGACCTACACTCCAGATCAAATGGTTGAAATCCTTATCCAGTCAGTCACCCAAGTACCAGCTTGGCTTGGTTCCTCCTCTCTCACCTCCCGTAATGAATTGATCACCAAGTGCTGCCACATTCTATTTTCTAAAGATCTCCCAAATCCATCGTCTTTCTCTGTTGCTCTTTTCTTCGTTTAGGTGTCTAGAGATTATGGTAATAACTTCTTACTGGCTCTCTAGCTTTAAGCTCAGCTTCTTCCAGTCTGTTTTCCATTCTCTACAGAATGATCTTTCCACAGTTCAAATATGGTCATATCACTCACTTAAATCCCTTCAAGATTTTTCATCTTCATAATATCAAAGGCCTTAGGGTGAATTCAAGATCCTTCCTGATCTTTTCCCAACTTCCCCTCCCTCCCCACCCTTTATCTGCAGACCACTGTTTCTTTCAAAAGTGTGGGACCTCCATTAAAAGCGTGGGAGTACTTGTTAAAAGTGAAAATGACAACCCAACCAGAATGAATCAGAATCTTGGGGGATAATGACCAAGATTCTGCATTTTTAACAAGGTCTCTGCATTTTAACACGTTTTACACTGGAGTTTGAGAGGCCTTGTTCTAGATACTCTCCCAGATTTCCCCTGCTCTTTATCCATGCCTATGTAGGGGAGGAAGACAGTTTCTCTACCCTCTAGGTCCTTCTGGTTGGTCTAAGAATTAAGCTGACATGAGACAGAATAACGGGAGAAAATAAAACAAAGTTTAATAACATGTATACATGGGAGAAACCCAGGACAACTGAGTAACTTGCCAGAATGGCTGAAACCACCATCTTAAATACCATCTTTAGCCAAAGACAAAGGAGGATGTTGGGGGTGGGGCCTTGGGACTTCAGAGGGGAGGATGGCAACTTACATGGAGGTGGAAATGTAAATGTTTGTTAAACAAGTGTTTGCTGTGCCCTCTCTAGACAATGTGACCAGAGAGACACGTTTTACATTACATTACAGTTATCTTATGGTATTAGCTCCTTCCTGAAACAGGCCTTCTATCTGAAATTCTTTTAGGCAGTTAGGGGGAAGGTCAAAGTTTCTTTCAGAGTCTTTTGTTCTTAAAAATAATCAAGCCAAAGAGACACAGTTTGAGGTGGCAAATTCTGCTCCCCCACACCTGGCTACCCACCTGTTTCCTGAACACAGCTTGCTATCTTTTCTGCCTTTGTACACGTCAGTCTCTGTAGCTCCTTCCTTGGTAACTCCTCCTCGTGCTTCAAGTCTCAGCATAACTGTCATACCTTCTGGGAAGACTTCCACCACCATGCAGGACCCTGCACCACCGTGTCACCTGCAGTCTATGTCTGGTCCGTTCTTGTGGACTCTCACAAAGCTGTGGCTTACCCCTCAACATTTCTCCCACTCTATTACAATCATAAATTGTGTGATTGTATTGTCATTGTTGGTTTAACTGTTGTGAGTGACCACAGAGAATACAGGCCTGCCTAGAACCCAGCACAGAGCCCAGCATGTCGGTGTTTATTAAAGGCCTGTTGAATGATTGAAAGCTTTAGGGCCAGATAGAGAGGTGTTTAATTATCAGATGTGCCTTTGGGTTCCTTTCTATCCTGGACTGTCCCTGATTCATGGGAACTTGGGCTTCCTGCACTGGCTTTCATTTTGGTGATAAGAGTGTTTCTTGCCTTGAGAGGAATTTTAACCAATGGTGGTGTTAAAGAAAAAAATTATTTAGTGACACTTGTTAAAGAATGGTAAAGCAGACTTTACTCAAGGGATTGAGAGAGGCATCTCCCTGGACGTAGAGACCACTGCCGTGGGAGTCTTGCAGAAGGGGAGCAAGGTTGGACTCAATTCTGACTCCAATGAGGACAAGTCGGGGTTTATAGCCAAGGAGCAGGGTGGAGGTCAGTGGATGGAAAATTGCTAAGAGGAAACGAGCAGTAAGGGGGCGTCTTGTTAGATGGCTCAGTAGAATTCTTGCTGAAGCTAGACCAGGGTGATATGATATCCAGGGTGGGGGATTTTCCTTAAACTAACTTAGCAGGATTCTTGCTCAAACTGGATTCTGTAAGGAAAGAGAGGGAAGCCCAAGGTTGGGCCTAGTCCAGCAGAGAGATCAGAGGAGCCTGATTAAAGTTAGGTTGAGAAGAGAGTCTTTGGGGGCTGACCCGGTGGCATAGTGGTTAAGTTTGTGCTCTCTGCTTCAGTAGCCTGGGGTTCAGGGGTTCGGATCCCGGGTGCAGACCTAGCACCACTCATCAAGCCATGCTGTGGCAGCATCCCAGATAGAATAGAAGATTGGCGTGGATGTTAGCCTGGGGCCAATCTTCCTCACCAAAAAAAAAAGTCTTTGTGCTTAAAGAGTAATATAAACACCAAAATCTTCAGTGAAAGCAGATTTTTTTTCTTGATCTATTTACATCATGTACACATAGTCATAAAAAATTTCTTTTTAAATATTTATGTTTAGAAAATAATTTATATTCATTTTCGAAAACATAGAAAATACATTGCAATTTAAAAAATAAAATAAATGTCACCCATTAGCACACAACCAAGAGGGAATGACTTAAAATTTTTTTGTGTTTATTTCTATTGGTGTTTTTTCCATTTATGTTCATGTTTGAACATAATTGGAATAATACCAATTATATATGCCTTTTATCTTGCTTAATTCAGCAAAAATTCTTAGTGAAAAAAATTTAATGTAGAGGAGGAAAAAGTTCTCCGTGACCCTCTTAGGGTCCCTAGCTGGGTCTGGAAACTAAACTGACAAAGACAGATTAACTGAAGAAAACCATACAGGTTTATTTAATATAAGTTTTATGTGACACAGGAGCCTTCATAAGGAAATGAAGACCCAAAGAAAGAGACCTGAGTATTTTATGTTGGGTTTGATGAGGAGTGGGTAGTTGTGGAGGAATATGATAGTTGGAGGAGTCTGAGGTAACTAGAAAACCAGGAAACAAACTTAGCAAGGCCTGTTTGTTAGGATTCTTCTTGGCATCCCTTTGTCCTTGCAGATAAGGATGATCCTTTCATCTGTGTGTAGAGAGGGCATCCCTCACTTGAGGATTTTATGACCTGTTTCAGGGAAGAAGGGCGAGAGGGGGGAGGTCAGAGTGACATTTCTGCCTCTGCCATTTTCTCACACTCCTTCACCTCAAAATATTCAGTATGCCAAGTTGCCATATTTTGGGGTAGTGTGTCCTGAATCCTATCACATTCACAGTTATTTCTTGAATGGCTATTATGTGCCAGATCTTATTTTAGGCACTAGGGATACAGCAGTGACCAGAACAAACTTCTTATTCTCATGGAGTTTACATTCTAGTGGGAAAAGCTAATAAACAAATTAGCAAATGGGGATCATTAAATGCTAAGTGCTCTGAAGAAAACAGAATAAAGATATATAGTCACTTTGTTTTTTAGTAAAGTTGTGCTAATTTGCCTTCCCTACAGGAGTGTGTGAGAGTGTCTATCTCATTTTGTCATCACTGAATATGATCATTTTAAAACATTTGTTAGGGGCCGGCCTGGTGGTGCAACGGGTTAAGTTCACACGTTCCACTTCTGGGCAGCACGGGGTTTGCCACTTGGATCCTGGGTGTGGACATGGCACTGCTTGGCAAAAAGCCATGCTGTGGTAGGCATCCCATGTATAAAGTAGAGGAAGATGGGTATGGATGTTAGCTCAGGGCCAGTCATCCTCAGCAAAAAGAGGAGGATTGGCAATAGTTAGCTCAGGGCTAATCTTCCTCAAAAAAAAAAAGTCATTAAAAAAATTTGTTAATTTTGTCAGTGAATAAGTGATAGTTCTTTGTAATTTGCCTGTCTTTGATTAGTCAGGAAGCTGAGCATTTTAACAGAGTTATGTGCATTTCCTCTTCATTGAGTTTTCTGTGCATGTACTCTGCCTTTTTTCCTATTGAGGGCCTAGCGGTTTTCCTCTGTTTTGAATGATCCTTTTACATTACTAATTTGTTGTTGAGTCCCTTATATATAATGGATAGACAAATGATCTGAAACAGTGGTGTAGTGAGACTGCAAGAAGAAAGAAAAACAGGGAGCCTGGAAGTCCCTCCCTCTCTTTCTGTCCCTCCCCGCTTCCTTCTAATTTAATAGAGAAAAAGTATAGTTTAGGTGGAAAGAAGTGAAGAAAGAAAGAAAACAAGGTAGGTGGGTGAGTGAGAAGATGAAGATAAAGAGACTTGAAGGGAGAAGGTGGAAAAGGCCGGAGAAGTGGTGAGAAGGAGGAGGAGTGAGGGAAGGAAAACGTGGAGCGGATGGAAGAATGGAAGACAGAGCTTTAGGAACTCCACGTGCTTCCCTTGGATAATTATATTTTTCTTTTTTCTTTTTCTGCATCAACCTAGCAAATCCCTAGGAGAAGATGACTGTGTTCTTTAAAACACTTCGAAATCATTGGAAAAAAACTACAGCTGGGATCTGCCTGCTGACATGGGGAGGCCATTGGCTCTATGGAAAACACTGGTAAATACCCGACAGCCCCCACCACCTCACCTTCACCCCCAACAACAGAACAGTCCGAAAGAGCCTAAGGTTAAAATCTTGCCCAGCTGTGCTTGTCCCTATTAAACACTATGATGTAAAAGAAAAATAAATGTTAAAACCACAAACAGAGACAAAGGCTTCTTGCTGTAACCACTTCTGTAAAATGGGAACTACTGTCCGGAGTTACTAACACTCAGATTTCAGTGGATAGACAGATTATACATACCAGTGAGATCAGAAGGTGAAGAAATTGAGGTGCAGCCTAGAGAGAGAAAAGTCTCTTCCCGAGTTAGTGGTCAACAGGAATTGGAACTCGTCTCCTTGGGATGTCATCCCTTCAGTTTGTCACTACAGCCTCTTCATCTATTATCACTCCCCTTGCTGGACATTTACTGAATCAGCTTTCTCCAAACATGTGACTTTCTTTGTCTATCCAATTAGCCTAGGTTAATTTAAATGAGACAAAGACTTTCAAACCTTTTGTTTGAGTAAGGAATTCAGCAGAGTCGTGCGTTTTATTAGCCTTCAGGCCTGGAGGGAGCAGAAAGTGCCAGAGCTCCTCTTCTGGTTTATATGGTAATAAGATTTAAATAAACAGTTTCTGTATAAAAATTATACAGATATTAAGAGAGCCAATCAAATTGCAGTCTTTTGGGGCTGCGGGGCTACGTCTTAAATACATAGCAACTCTGACATCCAGGTGTCCTGAGTGACTGCTTTGTTAAACAGAAGACAGCACAGGTAGGCTTTGAAGGAAAGTCTCCACACTGGAAGGAGAGTCATACTGATGCTTTCGTAAACGTTCTCAATTCACCGCTGTTGGAGAGAATTTTATCATGCAGCATGGTGTCTGGTTTTTTGCAGCTGTAGAGAAGATGGAACATTCCCCCCTTTTCTAAGTAATCTCAAGGCTAAGCACTTGAATTCCATTAGCTAGCATATATAGAGGAGAACAGACCTAAGAGGCTTAAAATTTGTAATGTCTAAAAAAGAAAAGGGTGGAGGAGATGTTCTAACAAATGGAATATGAAGCGTATAATGTTTGGCTTTTCCTCCCTTTTCTTACTACACCTGAGTCCTCAAGGGAAGGCTCCTTATCCCTCCTGCCAACGCAGGAGCCAGATTCCTTTGCAGGAGCGCCCAGTCCAGGCCCCAGCTAGCTCAGTCAGGGAGAACCTCCCACCCACTGAGGATTGCTGCTGTTTCTACTGCTGGTGAAGATTTAGGGAAATAACTGTGTCCCCTGTTTAAGATGCCTTTAAGGTACCGTAATAATTTCTTGCCAGTGTAGTCTTGAGAATTTAAAAAAGACCCATTAAGTCTCCACACCGTGGAGGCCTCATTCTGAACTGGATCTAAAGCAGCTTGAACCAGAAGTGTGGTAGGAGCCTGGAGGCCTCGCTTCCTCTGTCTCCGCCCTTGACATTCAAGGTTACTGCTCAAAATGCAAACCCCTTGTCCTGCTGTTCCTCCTTTTCTCAGACGTTTCTCCTGCATGCTTTGGTACTATTTCGCCATTTTCTTCTTTTTTAATTGTGGTAAAAAACATGTAAAATTTACTGCTTTAACCATTTTTAAGTATACGGTCCGGTAGGGTTAAGTATATTCACATTGTCATGCAACAGATCTCCAAAGCTCTTTCATGTTGCAAAACTGAAACTGTACCCACTGAGGAACAACTCTCCATTTCCTTCTCCCCGTGCCCTTGGCAACCACATTCTACTTTCTGTTTCTTTGACTGCTTTAGATACCTCTCATAAGTGGAATCATACAGTATTTGTCTTTTGTGACTTGCTTATTTCGCTTATCATGATGTCCTTAAGGTTCATCCATGTTGTAGCATATGGCAGGACTCCCTTCTTTTCTAAGGCCGAATAATATTCCGTTGTATGTATATACGACATTTTCTTTATCCATTCATCTGTTGACGGACATTTGAGTTGCTTCCATCTCTGGGCTATTCTGAATAATGCTATGAACTTGGCTGTGCAGATGTGTCTTCAAGATGCTGTTTTCTATTCTTTGGAGTATATATCCAGAAGTGGGATTGGTGGATCATATGATAGTTCTATTTTTCATTTTTTGAGGAAGCTCCGTACTGTGTTCCGTGGCGGCTGCACCACTTTTACAGACCCACCAACAGTGTGCAAGTGTCCAGTTTCTCCACATCCTCGCCAACGCTTATTTTCTGTTTTTTTTGATAGTGGCCATCCTAATGTGTGATATGGCATCTGGTGTTTTTGTTTTGCATTTCTCTAATGATTAGTGATGTTGAGCATCTTTTCATATGCTTGTTGGCCATTTCTTTATCTCCTTACAGAAATATCTGTTCAAGTTCTTTGCCCATATTTTAAAATCAAGTCATTTTGTTTTTTGTTGTTATGTTGTAGGAGTTCTTTAACCCCTTATGGGATACATGACTGGTAAATATTTTCTTCCATTCTGTGGGTCCTCTTTTCACCCTGTTGATTATGTCCTTTGATGCACAGAAGTTTTTAAGTTTATTGTAATTCCGTTTGTCTATTCTTGCTTTTGTTGCCTCTGCTTTTGGTGTTGTGTCCAAGAAATCATTGCCAAATCCAATGTCATGAAGCTTTTCCCCTGTGTTTTCTTCTGGGAGTTTTATAGTTTTAGGCCTTGTGCTTAGGCCTTTAATCCATTTTGAGTCCTTTCCCTGTTGTATGGTCTTGGCATCCTTGTTGAACATCATTTGATCATATATGTGAGGGTTTATTTCTGGGCTCTCTATTCTGTTCCATTGGTCTATAAGCCTGTCTTTATGCCAGTACCACACTTTTAATTACTGTAGCTTTATAATCTTTTTTTATCGAGATATAATTGACATATAATATTACGTTAATTTTGAATGTACAACATAATCATTAAATATTTGTATATATTGTGAAATGATCACCACAGTAAGACTAGTTAACATCCATCACCACACATAGTTATAAGTTTTTTTTCTTGTAATATGTTTTGAAATTAGGAAGTACAAGGCCTCCACCTTTGTCCTTTTTCAGGATTGTTTTGGCTATTTGGGGTCCCTTGTAATTTCATATGAATTTTAGGATGGTTTTTTTCTATTTCTGCAGAAAATGCCGCTTGGACTTTGACAGGGATAGCACTGAATCTGTAGATCACTTTGGGTGTATGGAGGTTTTAGCAATATTAGGTCTTCCAATTCATGAACATGGAATGTCTTTCCATTTATTTGTGCCTTCTTTAATTTCTTTCAGCAGTGTATTGTAGTTTTTTGCGTACAAGTCATTCACCTCCTTGGTTAAGTTTATTACTAAATATTTTATTCTTTTTTTAAAGATTTTATTTTTTTCCTTTTTCTCCCCAAAGCCCCCCGGTACATAGTTGTATATTCTTAGTTGTGGGTCCTTCTAGTTGTGGCATGTGGGACGCTGCCTCAGCATGGCCTGACGAGCAGTGCCATGTCCGTGCCCAGGATTCTAACTGGCGAAGCCCTGGGCCGCCACAGCAGAGCGCACGAACTTAACCACTTGGCCACAGGCCGGCCCCCAATATTTTATTCTTTTTGATGCTATTGTAAATGAGATTATTTTCTTAATTTCCTTTTTGGATTGTTCATTGTGGTTGTATAAAAATACAACTGATTTTCATGTGCTGATTGTGTATCCTGCAACTTTTCTGAATTTATTAGTTCAACAGTTTTTTGTTTGTAGAATCTTGAGGGTTTTCTACATGCAAGATCCTGTCATCCATAAACAGATAATTTTACTGCTTCTTTTCCAGTTTGAATGCCTGTTATTTCTGCTTTCTTGCCTAATTGCTCTGGCTAGGACATCTAATACTATGTTGAATATAAGTGGTAAGAGTGGGCATCCTTGCCTTGTTCTTGATTTTAGAGAAAAGCTTTCAATCTTTCACAGTTGAGTATAATGTCAGCTGTGGGCTTTTCATATATGACCTTTATTATGTTGAGGTAGTTTTCTTCTATTGCCTTTTTTATTTTTTTTTTGTGAGGAAGATTGGCCCTGAGCTAATATCTGTTGCCTATCTTTCTCTTTTTGCTTGAGGAAGATTGTTTCTGAGCTCACATCTGTGCCAATCTTCCTCTATTTTGTATGTGGGACACCTCCACAGCATGGCTTGATGAGCGGTGTTGTAGGTCTGTGCCCAGAATCCGAACATGTGAACCCATGGCTGCTGAAGTGGAGCACACAAACTTAACCACTATGCCACCAGGCCAGCCCGTCTTCTATTGCCTTAAAAAAAAAATCTGGGGGCCAGCCCCATGGCTGAGTGGCTAGGTTTGTGTGCTCCTCTTTGGTGGCCCAGGGTTTCGCTGGTTTGAATCCTGGGCATGGACACAGCACTGCTCATCAAGCCATGCTGAGGTGGCATCCCACATGCCACAACTAGAAGGACCCACAACTAAAAGTACACCACTATGTATCGGGGGGCTTTGGGAGAAAAAGGAAAAATAAAATCTTAAAAAAAAAAAAAAATCTGTACGTCCCTAACCTTTTCACAGAACGGTCCTCGCATTCTTTCTTTATATTAACCCAGTTTTTCCCCTGAGAAAATCTTACCCTGCAGCTCTCTAGAATTGAGGCTTCCCTGCCTTTTCAAACGGGTTGTGAGGTGGGGTCGGCGTTCTCCAGCTCTCATCCTTCCTACTTCTTTCCCTGCTATTTGTCAGACTCTTCCCAGCTTAAGCATGTCTTCTCTCAACTGTGTATTCCCATTTACTTACTGCCCTCTCTCTTCTTGCATTTACACCATTCTTGAAAGTGTACCTCACACTTGCAGTCTCTACCTCCATTTTAGAATAAGTTTAGTAAAATTTGGTTTCTGTCCCAGCATTTGATTGAACCTGCTCTTGACAAGGTTGTTAATAGCTCCTTAGTTGTTAAATTAAGTGTATACTTTTCAATCCATATCTGCCACATTTGATCCTCTTTGACTGTATCTGCTTCACTTACCTTTAGGATGTCTTCTTGCTC